TTCCCTTTGCCTACCGTCCCAAGGACTATTCCTGGGACAGAATAAAATGAAAACAGTATTTGAGTAAATCTCATCATTTGCTTTTCAGGATTTGAACTTACTCAACTTTGACAAATTAAGACAAATTTTGTTTCCACTCTTAAAACTTTGCATTTTACATATAATGAACCTGGCATGATTTTGCAGAACTGAATACCCATCTGGAATTGCCTCTTCTGTCTTTAGTTTGCTCATACAAAAAACCTACCAGCAAGCCTAGGTGTATGACTATACCATATGCTCAAGCCCACAGACTGGGGAAAAAAACAAGACAGTCTGGATTTATTCACATAAAAGCCTCGGAAGCTGCTGGAAAACGGAGTTAGGTGACCACATTTCTCGAAGTCTGACCTGGTTTAAAAGCAGAGCTGAAATCCGTGCAGCCTATTTCACAAAATCCTACCAAATTAAGTGTATGTGAGAAATTCCACAGCTGTAAGTTTATGAGTTTAGAGGAGTGGAACTAAAGGGTGGAGTATTAGAGCTGGATTGCTCTTTTCTGCTGCACAGGAGGATTTTTATCACTACATCAACAGTGATGCTTTGGCCTGCCTCCAACCGCATATTTCCACAGCAACCTCGCTGGACTCGGGAAAGGCTTCGAGCTTCCCCAATGCAGAGGCACTGAGTAAGGGCCCCTCTGCAGATCTCTCTTCCATGTCCAAATAACCAAACTCGACTAGTTTCAGCCCATACTGTGCTTTCTCTGTATCGAACAGACACTGCTCCCATAGCACTAAAGGTACCAGGGCAAAATCTGAGGGCAACAAGAAAAAAACACAGCAAAAAAAATTCAAATTGATTACGGTACATGCTAGGGTTACTCCCAATGATCCTCCTCTGTTTGGCAATAATTTTATGTTTCAGTAAAACAGCGCCAAATTAGAAGAGAAGCATTTAAAAGTGATTTTAATCATTACATGCTCACTTTATGTGCAAAGTAAGGAGGTTAATTAATTACCTTTCAAAGTGTTCCTGTATTTTTCCTTGCTCTGAAACCTTTTATTTCACCACTAGGAGCTGGATTTCTTTTCTGCTTCTCCTTGCCCCCCCCGCCCCAGCTTCCCACAGAAAATGGGCATCTCTTACCAACAAAGATTAAATAGGGAGACATAAACCAGCAAAATTTGACATGCACATGAAAGAGGGAATATAAACAAATTATAGAATCAACCTGCTCACAGAGAATGATGGATTTGAATTCCTCTACTTGACTTGCAAAATGAAGGGGAAAATTTCCAACTGTTTTAAAAGCTAGAGGCATATTGGTTCCAGCTGCCACTAATCCTCCTTTTCTGTAGCAAGGCCATCAAGCAGGATGAAACAATACAGTATTTTGACATTGGATACTGAACAGCTGCACCCCATTTCCAAAGGCAACGAAGTATAGCAACACAGCTAAGCTGCACCAAGAATCAGGGATGAGGATCAAATTTTAAGTTTCTGGGCAGCCTGCATGACAGTGCTTCTGAGAACAGAACAACAGTACCAATATTTGGTTTTGCTCAATTTTATTTTCTAGCAGACCTTGAAGATATGCAATTTCATCTCTATCTGCTCCCTTGCTGCCCAGAGCAGTACCCTGAAGCACTCCTCTGCCATCGGCTTTGGGCAATCATCTGCATAACACCTAAAAAATTCTGCAGTCAAGTTTTTGGACTCGTACAGAAGCTATTCACAAAGGATTCCCAGAATTTTGCAGTTTTAGGTAGAATGGCACTGAAAGCTACTGATTTTCTAGGCACATGTAAGAACGTAATGACTACACTACTGGCCCAGACCGAAGGTTCCCCTAGTCCCATATCTTGCTGTCCTACAGGGAAAGCCTCCTCCAAAGATGCAAGTAAATGATGATATTTCTCCTCACATAGCCTTCCAGCTTCCCCCTGTCCACAGTCCAAGGACTTTCCAGGCCAGAGGAAGTCTCTCTTCAACTCCCCTGAAGAGGCCACCCCTTGAACACAAGCACCATGTAATCTGTATACATATAGAAAACAGGAGTTCCCAGTGGATCAGGATTTCATCACTCGGAGAACCGTGCACCACATCCATGATCAGTCTGATGGCACCGGGAGTGCCAGACTCGCTGTGTTTCTATGATAACTGATCTGCAGGCAAAGACCGGTCATGGATTTCTAGACATCCAAAAGCCAAATGAAATCCTGCTGCTTCAACGGGTCTGCCAGAAGTCCAAAAAATCTTGGGAAATGTTCAAATTCAAGTATAAGGCAATATGTCCAAGTGATTAAACAGCACATGGAAAATACTTTTTGCACACATACGCACACATCTGTATACATTATATATACAGGCCAGACTTATGGTAACCCTCCCGACTGTGTGCAAAAGACATGCACTTCAATAAAAAAGCCTAACTTAATTTTTCAATTTAAATCCAAATTCTGTCCTTCTAACTTTAGAGAAAAAAACTTCATCACTTTAAATATTCAGAATCTACTTTTATAGTAAACATAATAATGGCAAACCATGTAATTTGAAGCAGGCTGTGGAAGGGAGTTCTTAAAAATATTTCTTGAGAACTCCAGAAAAACCTCCCTTTTGTAAGATTACTTAACACGTCACCAGTAAGGTTATGACTTACTCTCCCAAAGACAACACAGTTGCATCAAATGTACTTTTAATTTAATAGAGAACCACCAGAGAGAAATATAGCTAGAGTATCAGAGATGAATTTTCCATTAATCCCATTTTCTCTTTGGCTAGGCAGCCAAAGTTCGGATTCACAGTGTATTCAGATTTCTGGCTCCATATCCTGCACAGCAGTTAGCAGACTGGATTCATTCATTAGGCCATTCATCTATCATCAATCACTCCTCAGGTTTCACCCTCTGCTCCACAATAAAACCAGACAAATCCTCCTGCTGATTCATGTGCTTTGGCACATATTTGACCAGCAGTTCAGAGGTGCATGCCTGAACTGTCAGTAACTACAGAGCACACAACCAAAAAATGCTGAGGCAAGGACAGTACCATTGACAAGTCTGGCAAAGGAACTGTTTAAAGACATTATTCTTTAAACTGTTCACTCCCATTAGTTTTGAGATGAGTCCCTGTTGGGTAGCACCTTCAGCTGATGTTACCTCCATGGCTGCTGCCTGCTCCTTTCAGAATGGTCAGCTTTTGTAGGGACACAATATAGGATGCACCTCAGTCTTTTCAGAGTACCTTCAAAACTTACTTCTATTGGAGTCATGTGTCAAAGAGAGTTCTTTGACACAGTCTTTCAGGCCTGATGCTCTCCCACTGACACAGTAAATGTATTATTAATTTAAATGTCCTGGGAGCTGACTACAAGCAACCCAGGCATAAAATGCAGGTTTTTCTAGTCCCAAAGTCAGTGTTAACATTTTTGCGCCCTTAGTGTTCTGCAGCTGAAGTTCACTTTTTTTTTTTGGTAGTGGAGATGTCATCTGTGTTCCACAAACATGAAAGGTTGAGTTCTCTTGTGCTAGGAACGAAGTTGCATATTTGACAGCTCTAGAGAATGTTCTGCTGTTACGTGTGGTCCCCATCTTCATCTTCTACAACCTCAGATACCTGCAGAACCAAGCTGTCAGCCTGATCCACACACAACTTGACATTTTCTGGGATACTTTTTGGATGGGATTACATTTGCACGAGGCTCAACTTTACAGCAACAGTTGACTGGCTAAAGCCAAACATGAAATCGTATCTTAGGTGAACTACCCAAAACCACACTGCGAGAGTGCAAACGCGACCTGCAGCCAGTCTATGCACTCACCTCACGTCACTCTCAGGTCTGAGCCGCAGACTCTGGTTTCCTAAAGGAAGCTGCATCCCAGTCTGGAACTCGCTAATGTGCCTGCTAATGAGACACTCGAGTCCGAGCCCTTCACTACTCTCGCAACAGTCAGAGGTTACAACATGCATCTCGCACTCAGAACAAACAACATCCTCTACCAATTTAATACAGACTGGCTTTATATTAACTCTTCATGCAAGTGAATAATCTGAAGTCTCCCCATGACAGTTTTATCTAAGTAAAAGATTTTTCTTTTACTCGGCATACAGTAAAAACAAGAGAATTTTGCACCATGGGGTGGAGAAAAAAGTTTGATGATGATAAAGAATGAAGATGATGATCACTTTTCCATGTTCACTGAATATGCAGCTTTCTCTAAAGAAGGAAATTAATTTAAACCATATAATTTTACCAGGTTAGTCATATTCATGCAATTCCCTGTGAGGCCAAATTCAGGATCTAATGGCTACATCTTGCACTGCTGACCCAAAAGTCTTTCAGTAACATAATGTTTTTTCCATCTAGGAAGCGTTCAAGAGGCAAGAGGTACATAAAACATTTGACTGTGTTCGTGGAGATTCTCTTCTTCTGGAGGTACTGAATACAAACATCACAGATATGGAGTCATTGAAAATTCCATTCAGTCCACATTCTGATCTTAGTGTTTACACCCACCAATAGCCATCACATCCAACACAGACCAACTTTGAATTGCTAGTGTGCTATCTTCACGCCATCCAACAATCCTCACTAGATCCTTCACCAAACATTTCAACAGTTCATCAAACAAAACAGAAAGTCACAACCACATTCATCCTTACGCTCCATCTTGACATGATGAAATACCCTGCTGCACATCACTTGGAGGGACGCTGTCACCATCCTTCTGCAGGATCTGTGAACGGCTACAATTTCTGGCATCCAAGCCACTTCCACGCTATTTGCTTAAGCATCTGTATGTATGTGTATGTATGGGAGGCATGTGCTTGTGCCTACCATTATGTACACATATCAGTCTACACTTTGAACTTTCAAAGAGGCTGACAGCTGCGGTAGCTTTTGCACAGGGAACTCACACTCTCTGCTCCTTAGGAGGACTGTACCTGGGCACGCATTCTTTTTCCCCAGGACAACTACAGTGATTTACAGCCGACAGAGCTTGTGGTATTGCACTTACCCTGGGCGGGACAGTCTGCAGGGCTGTGATGTAGTTCTCCAGAGCAATGCGGCGACGGTCATTCAGCATGGCTTCCACCCGCGCCATATGAGTCTCTACCAGCTGTTGCCTTTCATTTGCAGCTTCTTGTTCCAGTGATTCCACTTTCTCCTGGAAATGCTGAAAAAAATACCCATCACAACAGGAACAGTGAAGGCATCGGCAGAGATCAGTGGACATGAACACCTTCGCCTGCAAATCACCAAAATGTTTCCCCATGTCAGTCTAGCTTGGCTCCCAGGAGCTCTGTGCTGAACGCACCTTTTAGTGATTTCAGTGGGAACTGCTGTTCCCTGTATTCCTGAACGCCTGGCCATATTTTATTAATCTAATCAAATATTCCTGACATGTTCAGCATGACCACCAGTGAATCCTTCATTTGCTTCCTGAGACAGCAGTTCAGTGCTACAGAATTGTGCCTAGACAAGGGTGGAGTTTGGCAAGTGTATGATCCCTGGGTTTTCCATCTATCAACGTGACTTCACGAGCACATCTACACGAGGGGGAAAAAAAAGTTCCAACCTGAACAGAAACACTTAATTTCTTATGAACTGGTCACCAGGAAGAAAAATTGAGCCCAAACTTATTCAATAAAGGCAAAGATTGACTGGGTAAAACGCACAGAGAGCAAAGCCGAGATCTAATGTGCGATGCAATTTGGTTCAGAACGCTACCTTTCATAGTTTTGCATTGAAATCACTCTAGCAGTGCCGAATAATATCTGGCATAGCCACAGTGGGATTCAAGGAGTGTGTGGTTTGTCAGAATTTTTGAATGATAGTATAATTTTAGATAAAATAATTTTGGCTGAGGGTTTCTTTCAGATAAAATTGATGGTGATTCCTTCCTTAAATCACATTTTCCATCTCTGCTTTGAGCTCAGGCCCTGCAGCTTATATTAGTTTATCATGGCCTAAATTTTGAAAGGGGCCCATGGGAACCGAGTTTTCAGTTCTCATTGAAGACAAATCTAAATTCAAGCAAAATTCTACCCCTCCACGCAGTCACAAGCGATGTTCTGCCCTGCTGTTCCAGGGACTGGCTGCAAAGTACAGAGACACCCAGCAGCCGCTAATGGCTGGAAACAAAAATAGCAGCAGCAAGAGCAGAGAATAACATTAAATCCCCATAGAAGTAGGTTTTAAAATTATATCACACCCAGCACCCCTTGTATTTTAACTGTGGCTCCAGTCAGTAAGGCTTCACAGTTGCGTTTTCCTTTACCTGGATAACAGCTTTCTTGTCGGCCTTTGGCAAATTCTTTGCTTGGCGTTCTGCCTCTTCCCACTCTCTCATGACCTAACGAACAAAACAAGGAGTGTGACTTTCATATTTTCGTCTCTTGTCTCAGGGTTTAGCAACAGCCAAACACTGCAGCTCTGACAGTCATCTTTTTATATTCCTCTCGTCCTTTTATCTCTATAAAAAAAGCAGTTACAACATTTAACGAAGGTAGGATCCTGTTATTAAATTAAACAAAGACAGTACTTCTGTGTCTGAACATCGTGCCAAGCTCTCGCAACTCCGCTGTGAAGCAACGCAGCCATTAGCCAGCCCTCAAGTGAGGGAAGTGGAGGTCTCCATGGGTGAACACACCAACCCCTTTTCATCTCCGACAAAAAGGAAACCGCTTTCATCTACTGTACGTCCTGGGTCAAAATGAGTGAATTCCAACTCATTCTAAGTGATGCTTATTTTGATACCACAAAAACTTTTAGATTTATTTGGACTAGGTCACTGGCCTCTAAGTAGGACAGATCAAGAATTACATGCAATTTGTGCTAGTCTGTCCAGACAGGTGTCAAACACTTCAAGAACAGAATATATTTATATCTCAAGTACAATGCTGACAGAAAAATGACGTAGAAGAACTTTCAGTACCACTCCTTTCAGCAACATGAGAGGCTACCTGCTCCTGTTACACAGGGCAGTATTTCAATAGTCAGGGAATGAGTTACTCTTAACTTGCTGTCCATGACATCTGAAACCTTCTCGTGGTCATACTTAAGGACTTTACTCATTTCACACCTAGACAGCAATCGCCTCAGGTAACATATTTTATGCAGGAACAATTGCTCTCACTGACTTCAGGGCACACAAATATGTGACTTATTTGCAGGATTAGCACAACATCAGAAGAAGACAGAAGAAACCTGGAAGCAATTACTCAAAACGTGCATTTCCTCTCCTTCCTTTCTCACCAAAAAACACACCTTCATACCATTTATTAGAAGCAGTCAAACACACCCTTTCTAGAGGGGATTTTAGAAAAGCTCAGAGTCTGCATGCATGACTGAAATTTTTCCAAGACCAATACCAAAGGCAGGACAAATTAGACCTGCTGTGTCTCCTGTCTGCAAGTTGACCCTCCACCACTCAAGCTCCTGTCTCAGGCTCCCCAGTTTTCCCGTACAGGACACTGACAGACAGACTGGAGAGCACTGGTGGTGCCCCAGGGTATCTGGTTGAGCCTGTGCCCTTAAAAAAAAAAAAAAACCACACCACAGAACAAACCTGGATCAAAGGAGACTTTTACAAAAGTCCCAGACCTGGGAATGTAATCTCCTCTCAGTCCTGTACAGAGTTGCAGACCCTAACAATTAACCAGTGTGCAGACTCAAGACTGACTCAACGTATGGGATTTTGTTGTCAAGTTTTCATCTTCCTTTTGACCCCAAGCTTGGGAATGTATTTCAAGACAGCAATAACTCAGTCATAGTAAAATCAGGTCAATTCACTGTCAGTGAAACTAGAGATTCTGGCCTCAATAACAGCCCGAAAGAGTGGAGACATATGCTTTGGGAAGCTAACGTGATGCTCAAAACTTTAAAGCTGGAAATTGTTTTGTCTGTTTCTGGGCTTCAGCAGGGGCATGGTTAGACAGCAGTTGTAAGCACAAAGACCTGAAGCACTTAGAAATCACAGTCTTAACTTCACTCTGCTCTTTTACTGGGAACTGTAAGCTGAAACTTAAGTCCCAAGAATTGTACATTAGCTTCTCATCAGGCGAATAAGCATTGATGTGCAAATTGCAGCCAAGCTCTAGGGAGGTAGGAACCCAAAATTCACAAGAGGATGTGAAAATTCATTTGCAAGGGGTTGTAGTAAGCAGCTGATGACAGAGAACATGAGGCATAGCACACTGAAGTTACAGGTCACCCCGCCACCAGTTACCTTCCCAGTACTTTGGCACAGGAGATTTTACCACTTCTCTGACAAAGCAGGACTAGAGGGCATGAACGGACACCACAGTTTAGAGCACCATGATGCGTTCTGGCAAAAACTTATTAATGCTTACAGTGCTACTGTGTATTAAGTGCACGTTAGGTATTCATCTCTTAATTGTACGCTTAGGCCATATGATTGTGGTGGCTGAGAAAACTTAATTTACGTATATGGGCAGCACCTTTCTAGAGACCTGAAACATCACTGGTGCCAGGATGTGAACGTTACAGAAGACCCACAAATTATGGCATTAATTCAAGTCATAAACTACAATGATGTGCTCAAGCTTGAGCACTGGCTTAGCTTAGCAACTTTATGACACTTTTATGTCTTCAAATCATGTCTGACATCTGCTTAATACTCTTTTTCACTCTGAATTAGCAGTTGATGGGTTTTCAGAACAACAGTTCCCTTGCCATCTTTATCCCCTGAACTAACCCTCTGCTAATTCATATGATGAAAACAAGTATCGTGGGTAATGTGATAAGGAGACCTTTGGCTAGACCAGGGTCTCTGCTGTTTTATTTCTCTAAACCTTTTAAGGTAGGATGATAAACTGACAGCCTACACAGCTAGTTGGGAAGGATGTAAATTACAGGCTTCAGAGTTCAGCTCTGGTGCAATGAGACTGAATGGCTTGTGAAAAAACCAGAATGACGTGGCCATTTCCAGAAACAATATTCAATGTAAAGATTGCAGAAGCTGTGCTTTGAGTGCTGATTTTTGCAATTCAGATGACTTCAATGGTTGAAAACATCTCTGTGTGTATGCTAACTAACTGAAGATACAGCTGCCCTACAGCTATCTATGGGAAGCACTACCACCCAGACAAAACTTCTGCTCTCACCAAAGGTCATCACTTTAGAGAATTATGAGTGACTAAGAAATATGCCATAGTTCTCTGTAGGAAACTAAAGAGCAAGAAGGGAAAGAAACCAATGTCCCAGATACATATGTGCAGAAAAAGGCTGAACTTGGCCTCTATGCACTCACAAACCTATTCTCCTTCACTGAAAGCACAGACCTATTAAAGCCACACAGATTTATGGCTCTTCAAGGCCTGGCAGCTTTGTGCAGGAAAAATTACAACTTCTGGTTGAGATTTAAGCAGCAAGTCATTTCAAAATCAAACTTTTTCAGAACTCAGGACTTAGTGCCTGGCAGACTCCTCCTGAAATTTGGCTGTAGGGGACAGCAAGAGGCAAAAAGGAAGTATGGAAAGCATAATTCATTATTAAGAGAGATGCTAAGCACACAAATCTCATTATAAAGAAACCAGCAGAATTTATTCCCATTTTTTGCACTAGGGCACAGAAGCGTAGCTGAAAGAGAAGAATTTATGACAAAAATTTGAGTTACAGCAATCAGATCAGCAGAGGTGCTTGCCTGAAGATTTGCTTAGTTAGAAGATGAAAGTCATGCCAATAAGACGCCTACCTTTGTCAAGGGCTTTTGTTCCACACTTAAGTCTCAACTCTTTTTCTGGTAATAACATCACCAAACCTCTCCAAAGAGTCCTGAATGTAACCGAGGGAGGTACTGCTACTAAGCTAATAGTTTTAAGGAAGGAAAGAGCCCTCCCACACACAATAATAGAGATGGTGGGATGTGAGGAATATAGAGACCAGTATTACTTAACATCTTCATGGACAGTGGGATTGAGTGCACCCTCAGCAAGTTTGATGATAACACCAAGCTGTGTGGTGCAGTCAACACACTGGAGGGAAGTGAAGGCCTTCCAGAGGGACCTCAACAGGCTTGAGAGGTGGGCCTGTGTGAACTGAATGAAGTTCAACAAAGCCAAGTGCAAGGTCCTGCACATGGGTTGGGCACAGTCCCGAGCACAACTACAGGCTGGGCAGAGAACGGATTGAGAGCAGCCCTGAGGAGAAGGACTTGGGGGTGTTGGCTGATGAAAAGCTCAACATGACCCACAATGTGCATTTGCAGCCCAGAAAGCAACTGTATCCTGGGCCACATCAAAAGAAGCGTGACCAGCAGGTCGAAGGAGGTGATTCTGCCCCTCCACTCTGCTCTCGTGAGACCCCACCTGGAGTACCAGCTCTGGGGGCCCCAACATAAGAAGGACATGCACTTAGTTTGAGCAGGTCCAGAGGAGGGCCATGAAGATGATGAGGGGGCTGGAACACCTCTCCTATGAAGACAGGCTGAGAGAGTTGAGCTTGTTCAGCCTGGAGAAGAGAAGGCTCCGGGGACGCCTTATAGCAGCCTACCAGTACCTAAAGGGGCCTACAGGAAAGCTGGAGAGGGACTGGTTACAAGGGCATGGAGTAACAGGACAAGGGGTAATAGTTTTAAACTGAAAGAGGTTAGATTTAGATGATATATTAGGAAGAAATTCTTCACTTGATGATGGTGAGGCACTGGAACAGGTTGCCCAGAGAAGCTGTGGATGCCCCATCCCTGGAAGCGTTCAAGGCCAGGTTGGATGGGGCTTTGGGCAACCTGGTCTAGTGGAGGGTGTTCCTGCCCATGGTGGGGGGTAGAAACTAGATGATCTTTAAGGTTCCTTCCAAGCCAAACCACTCTGTGATTCTATCATACCACTGGCACTAAAAATCAGCTGAAGACCTCTATAGGATGTTGGAACTAGCAGTATGCAATGATCCAAAAAAATATTGCACATAACACCAGCCCTGTCCAGGCTGGTTGGGGACTGCACTATTTTCACATCCTTGCTTTGGAAATAAACTTCAAGAAGCAAGACTATTCTAAGGAGATGAGTTATCATTAAGTTCCTATCACAAATACTGTACATGCTATGACTCCTAAAATATTGCAAACAGCCAGAGGAAGAGTAAATTTAAGACACGAGGATGTCACAATATGTTTGAGGAGAGAAATGTATAAATATACTGCTCCCTTGAGTAAGGTTCAATATCTGGTTCCACCAGCCTATTTAGCAGCAGCTATTTAAGTGAGGGAGCTGTACAGAAGTTAACAAACTGGAAAGAGGAAAAGAGGAACTGTACCAAAACAGGAAGTGAGAACCACGGCATCCTGCAAAGAGTTAGCATAATTTCTCCCTGTTATATGTCAGAGAATATAAAACATTTAAAGGTTACACATGCATCGCTGAATAGCTACCCTGTTCACATGGGAATGTAGCTTCACTGTTATTTGGAGTTGCATTAATAATTCTTGGGGAAAGCTTAAAATTATATGCTAATGTAATTCTCTTTACAGCAGTACCTGGGAAAGTTTATGAGCGTTGCTGCTCCAGGTGCCATGCAAGATGTAAAGGCAGAAAAACTTTCATGGTCTGTGGTCTAAAGGGACAGACACTTAAGAGCAGAAGGGATTAAAAGTCTGAACCAGAGGTGCATCAGGTCACTGAACTAAAGAGCACAGACCTACCTACTAAGAGAGCCTTTTAGGAGCGTTGAACTATGAATCGACACAACTACCAACAGAAGCTGGGTCTCTGCCTGTCTGAATATCTTTATGCAAGAGAAAAAGAAATGTACGTTGTCAGAATTTCATGATAAACAAAGGGATATCTCAGAAAGAGGATATACAGAATTTTGCTGTGATGACGTTTTGATTAAAATATTTAATTTCAATTTAATTCTTTTAATGATAAACTTTCCTACTCCTTACATGATTACATTTTATATGTGAACTAGAATGCATCTGACTTTTTTTTATTACTTGGCTGTTGCAAATTAAAGTGTGCATCAAATCAAATACTGTTTAAAACTATCTGCTTTATTAAATAAACTTATGTCACGAACAAACCAATTTATTTCATATTATGACATTTATCAAGATTAAAGAATTACTTGATCATTTTCCTAAACCCACTTATCATTTCCTCTCTTTTTAATAGAAGAAAAATGAGCATTTCTGCTGTTTTATAACCCCCCATTTTCAGCTTTGAAAGAACTGGACTTTGAGTTAAAAAAAACCCACAAATATTTTCGGAGCAGCTGGCAGACTCTGCTAGTGACTCTCACTTGTTAACTTTTTTTTTTTTGAGAGGAAAACATTGACAGCAAAAGCTTACTGAGTTAGTATATTCAGCATTGTTTTTAACATAACAAGTAACAGGTTCAAATCAATTTTTAGTTAAGTATGTATTGAGAACATATGTGATTTTACAGAAAAATGTAAAAAGCAATTTCAAAATAAACTGCCATAAAAGGGACCAGTGCTATGGGACACAGACCTATCACAGTTCACGTCAGGAAACACAGAATGATAAATTAGCTGGCTTTTCTACTTCTCCATAAGATTTTATATTTTTTTAAACATTTTAAACATTAACTGGGAGAAGCTAGTTCAATCCTGTACAAAACATTACTCATAGAAGGGAAAACTAATTTTTAAAAACTTAAGTTAGCTCTTTTCTTCAAAGCTCTGCAGGGGTCCTGTGTACTTCCAGACATATGTACTTTAAGCTGTGATTTTGTAAGCAGCTTAAACAAATTAAAGATCTTTGATCTTTCTTTCTTGATGTACCTATTGGGCTGCTGTTTCCCAGGTCTGATTTAGCTTGCTGAACTGGCCAGAGTTGGTTATTTTACTTTTTTTTTTTTTTTTTTTTGAAGAGTGACATTGCAGTGAGACAAGGGAGCTGACCTGCCTCACCCTGCAGCTGTATGCTCATTACTGCTGACAGAAGGGATGGCTGGGAACGTGCTAACGAGGGCAGAGCATGCGGCAGCACCAGTGCTGATCTTCAGTCAAACCCTTGAACCCCAGCCTTCATTTATAAGGTTGCCCCAAATGTGCATGGTAAAATGCGTGGCGCATTTACCCAGAAGTTTTCTGATGCTATGGTGCAGTGCTTTCCCCAGTTAGTTTATTTTGCTGGCCTCGAGCACCAACGTTGTACGGTCTCTCTGTATGTTTTCTGGGTGCCCATGCATTCAATTAGCTCTTTTCCACAAACCATGTGCTTTGCAGAAAATAGAAAATACACAGTTCACCCAAATATTGCCCTAAATTACTCAGCTTAACCCTGACACCGCATATGGGATTTTGGAGACAAATCTGAAACCGCAGTGAGAATCCGAGGACTGTTGCAGGGAAACCTGCCTTTTGCACTGACCGTCCTTTGCTTTCAGGACGCCTGCCCCACAGCATTCGTTAAACGGGGCTGTTTCAAGAAAACGGAAGGAACAATGAAGTGACACTGCATCACCCACCAATCCGGCCTGGGCAGGATCTCTCTCCTCCACCAGGCAGGCTGCATGCACAACGTTCTTTGTCCTCCTGATTCCCAGCCCATCTTTCCCAAACGGTGTACTGTAGCCGCACAGAGGTTTGTTAGGAAGAGGACCGGGCTGAGCCAGTCCCTCGGCAGCCATCGCTCACCTCCGCCCCGGATCAACCCAGGGCTTCAGGCCGGCTCCAAGCTGGGCAATGCACCCACCCACGCTCAGCAACGCTTGCGCCCCTGCCGCCCCAGCCACGGGTCATTTTGATGAAGTTGTTGAATCTTCCAGAGGAAAGAAAACCATCAGCGTGATAATGCTTCAAATAGCACTAACGTGGGACTGTTTTCTCTATTTAAGAAAGAGACAGCTTGTGCTATGCTGCTTCCCAAGCAGAAGCCAGATGAGGAGCACATATGTTCCCATCCATTAAGTGTCATATTCACGGCAGGTGGTTTGCACCGACCGGCTGAGTGCTTCAGGTAAGGTGCCCTGCCCTATTTATTAGAAAAGTCCAGGGCATAGCTACAGTGCCAGTAAAGAGTGACTTATTCAAAGAGCTTAATTTTAGGCCTACTCAAACATTTTAGCATGCAGCTAAAGGTTAATGTGTCAGTAATACATAGAAACACTAAAAATGCAACCGTGGAAGAAAGTTTCAATAAAAATTATACTAAAATAGCTACACAGATATATGCAGTGCATCTGATTTATACTGCGTTCTTTCTTACGGTTGTTCTATCCTAAAAAAATACACACTACAGGCTTTCCTTTAAACCTCTTATATTTTTCTTTGTTATTATTAGAGCAAAACTGTGACAATTTTTTATTGGCATTGCTATTATAAACCCTATTTTTGAGAGAGTAAATAGCTCATCCCTTAGTGTTCAATAGGATTAAACATAGCGTACAGTTTCAGGCTACACAAATCTCTTTGGTTAAAGGAAAAAAAAGGTTGATTCAGTTGGAGTTTGGTTCAGTTCAAAAGCACTAATTTTTCCTCTTTTCTTTGACTTTAGATGCATTTCACGATACCTTGAGGCTCGAGACTATTAGACAACATATGTGAACTTATGTTACCCCAGGGCACGACCATGTATGCGTACACACGGAGAACAAAGCTAATCACAAACAATCTCCCTCAGGTGCTGCAAAGGAAAGACCACTAATACAGTGGTCAAGTTATTTACTTAGAAATAAGAATAATCTCACAAACCATACATTCTTCCACAAAGATGAGAGAAATTTTTAACAGACTTTTTTTGATTTCTCCTTTTTACCAGCACAAGCAACTGTATCGCCTTATGATGGCAGATGCAACCCAACCAGAAATATATGTCCCAGCCAGCTGAATTCTTAGATAGAGTCAGAAAGACAGTAAATGGTGTATTTACAAAATTGCAAATAGGCAGGGCAGCTGGCTGAAGCCTTGGGAAATAAGAAAAAGAAGGACTCCCTCCCATATTTAAAAATAAAGAAATCTCCCCTTACCTGAGACATCCTTTCACGATGCTTAGCTTCAAGTCTCTCCTTGGCTTTCTGGAAATGGGCATGTTCATTCTCGTCCCCAGGTGTCTCCAAGTATTTGTCAACAGCATCAGGAGTGCTAGCAGCTGTGGTAGGGACTGAAGTACAATTTTAAGGGCGGGGGAGGGAAGGGAGGGGGAAGAAAAGCAGAATTTTTACTTTAGTACCAGAAAAATTTAGTCGGACCAAGCAAGAAACATCTGTTCTAATTTCCATCAGAATAAAGCCATTCATTTAACCTCAGAGGAGGATATAAAAATGTGGTATAGGCAGACATGTGAGACACACAGCAAATATATGTGAATATACAAGGATTCCCCCCCCCACCACCCCATTTTCTAATCCAGAAGAATCTCTTCAGTGTGAACAAAGCAATGTTATTCAAACAGGTTAGAAACTGCTCCCAAAGGAAAAATTCCAAGGAGAAGAAAAAGCCTGGCAGTGATTAAAGTACATAAACCAGCAGAAAGCCCTTTGCAAAGTTGCATGCTTTGTATATTAGTTTATTTTTAAAAGGTAAACTGTAACACACACAAGTGCCAATGCAAATACGTTTTAAAGCACCTATGGACCCCACAGTACCCTAACGAAACACCTCAAGTCCTTCTACGAGTGACAGTTTGGCCTCACAGATATTTACTTTATTTGTAACAACTTTGATTAAGAAAACCCCTCACGGATGCAGGAACTAATCAGCAAGCACGCACTAACTGCCAGCCATTCCTGTTGGATAACGAGGCGATACCCATCACACAGGTAGCAGAAAGATTTCCGTTTGGGGTAATTCAGGCAGAGTGAGCACCTTCACTACGCAGCGACATCTAACCACCTCTCCATTAACTAGAGTAACATGCCTGTGCTAGGGACATAAGAGCAATTTAGAAAGCTCTCCAATGATGATCAACTATTTCATTCCAACTATATTGTCCCTAAATATTTTATTACATAGTTAGTTTCATTTCCCTGGTCACATTTAGTTCAACAATTGCAAAGTTAGTTTAAAAATTCTGACAAACAAACAGAGACAGTGCACATAGTTCAGCAGATATTTTTTTTTTTAAATGCATAACACATTTTAGTAGTTAGACTAATACAGGTAGGGAAAAACCTAGGTCCCTCCCACACCCCAAACATTTCTCAATGTCTTTAAAAAAAAGCAAACATTAATCTGAAGATCAGACTGAGTAATATTTATTTATGACTACTTTTCCCAAAACAAGTTGAAATATAAACACGTCTATGTTCAGTATTTTTTTAAATTAATAAATCATCAGTTAGAAGTATGTGTCAGTGCCAATGAAATACATCCTCAAATTTTAAGAAAAACTTAAAGCAAAGTCCAAACTTTTCCTCCAATTTTACTGTAGGCGTATAACAAAAGCAAAACAAACACCCCCCTTAGCCCCCACCAAAAAAAAAAAAGAACAGCAAGCTGCATTTAAGATATCTCTACATGTTCTCTGCAATAGGCATGAGTGGGTTTGGCTGCTGTTGGTATAAATTGCACAATGGATTTTCTAAGTTACTCACTGGATCAAAGGAAAGGCCTTGATTGTCTCAAAACAAAAAAATAAATCTACAAGCAACCAAAACAAATGCAACTGAGAGGTCACAGGTAGTGCAAATTATTACTCCTCCCACCATTTGTAGATCTGTTTCATAAATATTTAATTACAAGTTTACATTTTGTAAAATTGTAAACTTTGTTACTGAAGTACTGTAACAAACAGGAACAAATAAGCTTCCTGACAAGCCACAGAAACTACAAAAAATAGAATGCAACTCTTAATATTTTCAGTGCTTACTTCTACAACTTCAGACAATTTAGTCTCCAATGCTGTTATAAAAGCATAAAAATTTTCTTTCTTTTTAAATTCTTAATGATAACAAGCCATCTTCAACGATAACGCGGTTTGTGCTGGGGTGCAGTGCTGCCTGCCAGAAAGGCTACAGCCAACGTAAGCAAATTCCAAAAACATATCAGCCAGAGCTCGGATTGAGCAAAAACATCTCTCTAATGCTGGGAACTATTTCTAAATATCTTTGCCTCTTCATCTCTCAAGCACTAAATTAATTTAATCTTTATCTTTCCTGAAGCCACAGTTAAGTACAGTACATTTTAATTCCAATTAGAAAATGAAAATTCTATTTCAAAGCAGGAAGAAATTTAAGAGTGTCAGACGGAGCCAAGGCCATCCCTTCCAGGCTCCCGTTTCCTGACAGGGGTTCATCAAACACCCCCAGGCAAGAGCAGTGACTACTCTTTTGCAATGTTTAACTAACCTTCCCGAATTTGCCTTCCAAGACTCTAATTTTATATTTTTACCCCAAAAAACTTGCATGAGATTTAACATTCACAACATGGTGCAGTAACGAGTTCCACGGTTTAATCAGGCTTTGCGTGAAGAGGATTCCCCTCTGCCCGCAGCCTCCATCGCTGCCTCTGCAGGACGCAGCGGGGTTTAGCATGGGAAGATGCAACGGGGTAGACCTCTGGCACATTCGCCATCCTTCTCCATCTTTTATAGATTTTTTTTTAATTTTTTTTTTTTAACTGAACTTAAGTCTGTCCAAATGTGAATGGAAAGAAGTGCCAATCTGCCCAGTAAATTATGTAAATTTCACCTTTAATTTATTGAACAGGCAAAAAAAGGTCACCAGCATTTGCACTGAGATCAGTTAAGCCACTTGTACATTGAAGGTCTGATTTTCAAAAGCTCCCGTCTCGCATGCGCGGCCTTTACAGCCCAGATTTTTGGACAAGGCACTTACTTCCCACCGGGCTGCTTGCTGGTGTGTTTCTGAACAGGTGAGGGCAGCGGGTGCCAAGAACTGGAAAACCTGATTTCAGTGCTCGGTGCTGAGGATGTTGGAGAACCCAGCCCCCTCCGAAAGCTGCGCAAAACCAAATCAAGCAAAGACTGGGCATTGAACACCACAGACCTGCACGCCCGAGACGGCCGGGCTGTGCCAGCAGCACGGGAAAGGATGTGGGTGGCACGGTGATACCCGACCACAGCCTGCTCTCTCAGCTAACGCTGCTAAAGAGGGTAACGCTAAGGGAGAGCAATACTGCGGAGGAGGAGGAGGAAGGTACTACCCCTGACCTTGTGCAGAAGGCTGGAGTGCCCACACGGGGCACTCCACTACACCCTACCAAATAGAATGAGGGCTTGGAAACGGGCATGTGGGCTGAATGGAGCTTGGGGGACATGTCTCATGGTAAGAAGCTCCATCAGTTACACTCATCCACCAGGGAGTGAACTACTGATTTGATTTAGAAAATCTCTACCGAGAAAAGACTTCTGGACAGTAGCTTTATCAGAAAGAAGCAACTGAGGTCTGACGGTTGGAAAGCAAAGCTAGGCAGAAAGAAGGCTGGAAATCCAGACCAGAAATAAGCCACCCACTTCCAGTAGAAAGCGCAATTAAGTATTTGAACAACTTATGCAAAGATATGCTGATTCACTCAAAAGCATCCTTGAAAACATCCTGCTTCAGCATCTCCTTCTAAAACCCGGCCAGCAAACAAGCGTGCAAGCCAGGGGTAAAACAGGTGTTTTCTCCCTCCCTGCTTGCTGCTGGTTCTGGTCCGTGCCCAGCACACGTCAGAGCAGGCTGAGCTTGCCCACAGCCAGCTGTAAGGACTCAGCCTGCCCACTGCTCCTGGAATGTCTCTTCGGCTGCAGGGACCAACTAACCTACCAACACTGACCACATCTCACTCCGAAAACAGAGAAGCTGTTTCAACTCTCAAAAAACAGGGACAATTTTCATTAAAAAGAAGTTCACCATCTGTGCTTATGAAAATACTAAAAGGTGAGATGCAACAGTCATACATGGTTTTGTTTTCTGTTATAATTGTGATTCAGAAGCCATCTTTTAATGAGTGGTTAGTTACATAATCTGAAATCGGAAATGCTTCTCTGTACAAAACATAACTAGCCTGCTTAAAAATAAATAACTATACAAGATTTCGCTCCCTGTATTTACGAAGGCTGCAAATAATAATGTGACTTCTCCATCCAATATTAAAAAAACGCACGATTATCAATAGCACGTTAAACCCCCCTTGCGATTCCTACATAATGATAACTGACAGCTTACCCTCCCCCTAATTAAAAAAAAAAAGATAATAGTTACAAAAATACTGAGCCTCCCTTCTTTGGCATAAAGCAGAAACATTTTGAAATTTCTTCATGGCTGTTGGCACAAACCCTATCCTTTGTACTCAAATACATTTGGGGACTTTGTTTCTAAAGATGTATTGCACGCTTTCTCAGTAAATTGGGAACATTTGGTCACACATCAGTTACATGTAAGGATTCCTTAAAAATCTGCAGCCTGATCTCCTCTTTTGACCACATCTGCTCTTAGGAGGTGGTTTCATTTTCTATGCATTGCTTGTTTTATAAGGTAACTCATTCTACTACTGCATGAAGACTGATCAAAAAGTGTGTCTTGACAGGTGTGGAAGAAATGTGGTATCAGATGACATTTTCTTCACACTTGCACTCATTTTACCTGTCAATTCCCAAACAGATTTTTTTTTATTTTATTCTTATTAGACTTTAAAATCCTAACCTTCCTGGAGACATACGTTCAATAATACAGCCAAACTATGCTCTACACATTTTGCTATTTAACAACAATTCTTACATATCAGAAAACCAGGGGGGAAAAAAAAAGGAGGGGGGTGGGGGGAAGAAAAATGAAACAGTATGCCCCCAGATCCTGTTTTACTATTTTGCATAAAAATAAATAATCCATATCAGCCTTTCCAGTGAAAGAAAAAACAGTCACTCACCAACCTCATACCAAGTGAAAGGATTAGTAGATGCCCCTTTTCTGAATGACATTGGCTGCTGCACATAAGATGGGAAATCATTTGAAATAAGAGCATTACCCGACTACAATGTAGTATTCAGTGGATGCATTCATTGCCGCTGAATTCCACGTACACAACTGCCTCATTAATGAAGGATTAAGTTCAAAGCTTTCAGTTGTTAACTAAGATCACAACTAATTATAGCACTTCTGACAATCACAAGTGCATATGGAATATCTTTAGCAAGAAGGGTTCCTATTATTGCTGCTGCTACCTTCTGAAGTGAGCTGCTTTTACAAGATGGTGCCCCCATGCTTTTGTGAATAAGCTACTCCGCTTGCAGCGGGGTGGCAAAACCAACAAACAGAATCTAAACAACAGGGAAGGAAAATAACGATTACTTTTTTATTACAAAACAGACAAATTACCAACTGAATGACACGAGACAAATGAAGGCTGGGAAAGGTTTATCTAAGATTGTAGCAAATTACCGTTATTTTAAATGCAGGGAAAAAGATGTACCAGAATGAGTTTTTACATAAGAAGTTGTAAAGTTTAATAGAATTTCATTACTTGGAGAAAAGTGTGTGCCAAACTGGTATGCTTGCTAGTAGAGATTAATACTGTGGCACAGAACAGTAAACGTATTTACATACTATATATAAATTATAATCTACTGCATTATAGAGACCACTATTCTCATTCTTAGCACTGTAAGCTGGAGGACTAGCAGGCAAAGTGCCAGTCCTTTTCACTTTTAATTACTTTCTCTTCATACACACTTTCACCAAGACCACTTTCTGAGCTCTGTCTAAAACTAACGAACAAAGGGGAGGGCAGAGTTTCTCCCACAGACAACAGCACATGAGAATGAAAACCAGACATAGCCTCAGGTTTAGTATTTTAACCTGTAAGCGGCAGGTTGCTGCTGCTGCTGCTGGTTTCTTTTTAGGGTTTTGGAGGGCAGACAGACAGCACTGCTGTGCTCCAAGGGTTGGCATCACCCCTGGACTGGCAGGAGTTCTGGGAGCCAGATCTTTTGCCTGGTGGCTCCTCACGACATCTCCCTGCCTGGCAGGTAACTGCAGCCCAGTGAGCTGTGCTGATCACCATCAGAGCCTGGCACTCCTGTCCTTCAGGCCACTCAACTCCAGCTGCCCGCTTTTTAATTTTCAGCAAAGATGCTCCATAATGCAAACTCCCATTAAGGTATTCATTGATGTTAAGGCTCATCCATTTCAACTACATATTTATCACTCAGCCTGATCACACACCCATTCAGCTGTGTTTTATCTATCTTGCACATTTGCTTTATCTGCATGTTTTGACAAATATATTTAAGACACCCCAAAAGTGGTTGAAAGTAAAATGTTCTCCATAAAAACTGAGGAATTCTGACTACAATGCTAGGGCTTCTGAACGCACAAAACATTGTCTAGCAGACTGAATAAAAATAAATATATTCTTCTGTCAGAAAAAATATATAAGTGTTGGTACTGAATTAAGAACACCTCCTGCTGTAGAAGTAGTGATTGTATGCTCAGGGAAGCAGTAAAAAGAATCACCAGTTCTCAGACTTGACTTCACCTTCAATTTCAAGCTGCCTCTTAGCTTCCAAAATTCTGTTAAATGACATGAATGTGAATGCTCCTAAAGGGATTATAAAGCACATTGTTTAAATATGTCTACTGGTTTAATTGAAAGAGATTCCAGGCACAGGTGACACGAAGAGAGTTAACACGTGAAAGAGAACCCAGTGTTCCAGAGGGATGCTCTTTCCTTTCTTAACATTGGGTTATCTCACTGTTTTTATTAGCCATCAAGGCTAAACTACTTTGTCATAAAAGACTGTGTATAATTTCTGTAGTATTTCATAACTTGCATCAGTATTCAAAGAATAATTACAGGTCAATGCAGCAACCTTGGCCTGAAAATATAATTAAGTGTATTCAGATGGAGAAATCATATGTTTAAGAGTTACGTTCCATTTTGAACTTTACTTTGGAAAGGCTGATCCTATCTTCCTTTGATATGTTATAATTTAAATAGCTGGCATGGCGTCAAAACAATAGGCAGCTTGTAAGACAGTTTAGTGAAATCCCTCATGGAGACTTGGAGAGAAAAAAAACCCAAAACATACTTATATTACTCCTCACCTATTTCCTTAGCTAAAGTTGATACTTGCCACCTAAACTAGGTTTAAGTTTAGTTTTCTCATATAAGAATCTTTCTGTGTAAGAACTTCACGATACATTTTCTATCTATGCACAGCTAGAACTTGGCAGCCACGATGGCAACTTCCTTTTCACCAGCCCTGACAAATGCAGTTTTGCTTTGCTCATATCCATATATCCATTCAACACTCATCCCGGTCATTAATTGCTCAGATCACGCCCTACACCCCCCCTCCCACCCAAGCCAAGTTCTTCGATTCATTTTTAGCTTGAGAGAAGGTCCCCAAAGCAAACTTGCCTCAAGCTTCTTCACAATACTCTGCTTCAAGATAATTCTCTTTTGATTTGTCACCATAAATTTAAATATTTATGAGGGTAAAACCCACCATTAAATTCTTCACCTGTTACATCAAATGAGATTGCTGTGAACAAATAAAAGACAGAAGTATTCTCCTCAAATGCCTTCTGCCAAGGTTGTAAACAAGAGTCATCAAGTTCCACAGAGTTAAAAAAAAAAAAAAAAGAACTGTGGTTAGACCCAACAAAACGAGTTACAGGAAAAACACTGTCTACAACTATCATAGAATCACAGAATGGTTTGGGTTGGAAGGGACCTCAAAGATGATCTAGTTTGAACTCCCACCACCATGGGCAGGGACACCCTCCACTAGACCAGGTTGCCCAAAGCCCCATCCAACCTGGCCTTGAACACTTCCAGGGATGGGGCATCCACAACTTCTCTGGGCAACCTGTTCCAGTGCCTCACCACTCTCACAGTGAAGAATTTCTTCCTAAGATCTAATCTAAATCTACTCTCCTTCAGCTTAAACGCATTACCCCTTGTCCTAAATACTATATATCACATTAATAAAATTCCTAGTGCTTGAAGGTACCAGTAGTCTAACTCTTGTATATGAAAACATACACATTTTGCAGTTTTTGAATCCTAAACTTTATCCAACTGATTTTTAAAAAGGCCCAGTCCAACACTGGTTCCACACGTGGTTCAACGGTGAAGCATAAGTATGAATTTATATAGATGAAGAAACTGAGGAAACAGAAATTAGTCACTTGCATCCTCTAACAGTGGTAGTCGAAATTAACAATTTAAATAGATTATATTAGAATTCATCCCATTACAGCTCCTAGGTACCGAATAATTGTCAAGCACTCACAATGAATAAAGAACTGCAAAAATATGTTTTTCGTAAGATTTCATCTACACTATTCGAAACTGGCCTCAACTTCATCAGGACGCGTGATTTGGCCGAGTTTTCATGCCAGAGAAAATAAAACCCAGCAGATACAGGCAATTCATGCTGGAGATGGTGGGAGAGGGACACATTTAAGTAAAGTCTTGAGAGGTAATGTCCCCTTTACAATGTGGGAAGCAGTAAGACAACTGAATATAAAGAGCCTTTATGACAAAGCAACGGGTTGTCCTTACTGAATTTGTAGTAACTTGGGGGTTTTTATTAATTCAAATAAAAGACTTTGTACTTATTATGAGAATTGCTTCCTTGCAATACCACTGCTTACAAAGGCAGATTTTTAGGTTTTGAAATGTTAGCACTAGACCTCTGTATTTTAAATTAGATCTCCTGTAGTGTCGTGACAAATTAGTACTGTAGCTGGTGACTGCAATGAGTATTTTCCAACACTAAGTGCACTGTCAAAAAAGAGAAAAAAAAAAAAAGAAAAAAAGCATTCCTGGCATGAAGCAACTTGCAAGCTCTGCTGCTGTTACAGCCACAGGCCTGCCAAGCCCCCACAAGCCTCACAAGCAGCACAGAGGCAATATCACCCAGCCCAGATGAACGTGTTGTAGACATGGCCTGCTTTCTGTCTTTGAGCCTCCTACCTGACCTCAGGCTCGAGCCGTCTCTGTACTTGTACACATAAAATAAGCAATCACACAGTACATAAGACAAAGGATTAAAACGTGTTACCTAACTAAGAATTTGGTTTATTTTACCGTTCTGCTTACAGGAATGCACTGCAGCACTTTAATGCCTTACACAGGCACTGGAAGTTGGCATGCAAGTTTAGCTGCCGAGACATTTTACTTCCTGCTAACTAGAGAGATGTCAAGATCCCAAACAAATACCAAATGGATAAAGGAAATTCCTGACAACAGGAATATCATCTTATAAGCCTTTGCTGTTAAAACGTACAGACTGTCATTCGCAGTACCTCCGAAGGGAAATTAGACTGAACACTGCAAAAACGCTACAGGTCATGAATTTTCCCCTTGCTTAAGAGCATGAAGTGGAAACACGGTAAGACCCATTTCATCAACTATCAGGGACAGACCAAAGCTCATCTGTAGGCAAGCCGAAGCTAGCCTATATGAAAAGCAGTAAGAGTGGATCCCCCATATTAGTCTTAGGCCCACGTACAATATTTTAATCTATATTTAAGAGGGTGTAAAATTCCACGTGTATTATGAATTGTAGCTTTTAGAGTGTCTGTTTCTTTTCATAACTTCCATTTGAAATTGAAATAAAGTATCTGTCACTTAAAAATCACCAAGAGATTTAGCAAGTTTGTAAGTTTACAAAATTTAGCCTAGAGAATACATACTATTCTACCTAAATTCACCTAAAATCTGTGATCATGCTCTAAAATGATCAAAAATAAAACAACATGTGTTGACATTTAAACTTATTACTAGGTTTCAGGGTTTACTCAAGGAAGGAGGCAACTGACAACACTGAACCCTGTTGGTTCCTTCTGACGCTAGCCATAGGAATTCAGTACAATAAAAGCCCCTATTTTATAAAAGGTCATTTTAATGGTATGTGAAAGTTTTCAAAATCCGACTGTGCCACTGGAGTACAGTTCATTCCCACTTCAGATGCGGAACAAATGTAAACACAGCGGCATGAATTCCACTCCAAACGCACCGCGGCTGTAGGAGCTGCTGGGTGAGCTGTCTCCTATGCAACACCTGACAAATGAAGCACATCTAAGATAACGAATTTTCCCAGCTTTGAAGCTTCTTTTGCCCCCAAGTTAAGACTTGAACATTAATGTAATTTCAAAATGGTACTTATTAAAAAAAGTATTTCCTATAGCTTTAAGAAAATTTAACAACCAACAATTAAGAGACAAGTGAAAAAACTTTGTACAATAGATTCCTTTTTATTATGACAATAAGACAGAAATCATTCCTTCGATAACTGCAATTTATCATCTTCTGCTTATTCTTGTCAATACATACCCATTCTGAGGTCATTAAATCTGAATTAACTGCCTTATAGATGCTAATGACTTCACAGGAGCCATTATAGCCAGTCACACAGTAGAAGTTTGAGTCCTTATATTGAATAGAAACTGTAGACAATATTGAACATCCTTATTAAAAATCAATAGTGAGAGAGAGCGCATGTGGTCTGGCCAGCTGAAGGAATTGGTAACAAGATCCTTATACTTCTAAGGTAATTATATATCAATTCCTATGCAGCTGGGTTGTGTTGGGTTTGCATGACAAGGTTTTGG